AAACCATTTCAGGTGACTACCTCTTGAAGCTCATGGAGAGAATGCCAAGAGTGTGCAAAGCAGTAATCAGAGCAAAGGGTGGCTATTTTGAAGAAACTAGAATATAAAACATGTTTTCAGTTATTTCACCTTTTTTTGTTAAGTACATAACTCCACATGTGTTCATTCATAGTTTTGATGCCTTCAGTGAGAATCTACAATGTAAATAGTCATGAAAATAAAGAAAACGCATTGAATGAGAAGGTGTGTCCAAACTTTTGGCCTGTACTGTATTTTAGTATATCAAAAACCTGAGTCAGAGTGTGTACACAGATCAGGATTTCTTTAAGTGTCATGTTTCTGGTCCTGTTGTCAGAACCGCCATGAGATGCTGGCAGTGGAGCCCATCAATGAGCTGTTGAGGGCCAAATGGCAGAAGTTTGCTGCCGTCACCTTTTACATCAGTGTGGTTTCCTACCTCATCACCATGATCATCTTCACCCTGGTCGCTTATTACCACCCAACACAGGGAACGGTAGGTGTGAAACCACCATATTGCATCGGAACAAATCAGTGCTTCATGATGTGAAATTGTTAAATGTGCCAATGCATCACTTGATATTCAGGACAATACAAGAACATATTTTTACTATAACAGGTATTTAAAGATGTACCTTGCAGGATTGTTTCGCCTCGCTGTATTTGCATTTTTTCCAGCGCTGTATCTCTTGGATGCCTGCTGCTTATGATCTGGCACTTTTTTATAAAATCCCGACCTCACCTGGACACTGTGGGGGTCAAGCCCATCCCATTTATGTCCCAAACACAACAACATAAGAAGAAAATAAGAAAATACAGGCAGAGGGCAGAGTCTCTGCCAAAAAATAACACTGCCACATACCTCCAGTAATAAAATAATAATAATAATAATAATAATAATAATAATAATAATAATAATAATAATAATAATAATAATAATAATAATGCATTTTATTAATAGGCACCTTTCAAAGCACTCAAGGACACCTTAAAAGACACGGTTAAAAAAAAACAAGCAGCAATGTATCCAAAGATCGTAATATACAATAAGAGTTAATAAAATGACGAGACAAAAATTTGAATTATAAATTTAAGGTATAAAATCATCATCATGGAGTCATCATCAGTGCAGGCCAGGGTACCATATGTGTGTCACTGTTAAATCAGACTGAATATGCCAGTTTGAAAAGGTGTGTTTTCAGATGGGATTTGAAAGTGGAAATTGAGTCAATACTGCGAATGTCATGGGAGAGAGAATTCCAGAGGCGAGGGGGCAGAATGGCTGAAGGTTCTAGAAGCCATGGTAGTTAAGCGCGCAGATGGTGATATGAGTTGCAGAAGAGGATCTAAGAGTACGGGAGGGTGTGTAGATATGAAGGAGTTCAAACAGGTAGGTAGGGGTCACAAGTGATGTTTGAGTGGAATTACTTCTTTATGATAGTGCATAGTATATCTGTAACTTTTTAGCAGAGAAAAATCCTTTCTAAACTGGATGGTAGTTTACATATCTGCTCCCAATCTGCATGTGTCTATAAGGAATGTTGTTACTGAAGAAATCTAAAACCATCCATCCCTGACAAGCTAAATTCTTCCCGTAGATGTTCATATGTATATTGTGTATGGATTTTTTTTTTTTATTGCTAAAATGTTCAGATTGAGTGAATTGATAAACCCCCATCCTGCTTCCTTACAGCCTCCGTACCCTTACACAACGTCCTCTGACTACTTGCGCATGGCAGGAGAGATTGTCACCTTGGCATCAGGAATCTTCTTCTTCCTCACCAATGTGAGTCAACACACTCTGACGCTTCTTTATCGTTTGATCATTAGTTGCTCACGACTGTCTCCCAGTCTTTTGCAAACCTGTAACAATAGTGTTGTTGTCATTATGGAAATGCCTCTCTTGCTCTTTGCAGATTAAGGACCTCTTCTTGAAGAAGTGCCCTGGGGTGAAGTCTTTATTTATTGATGGATCTTTTCAACTGCTGTAGTAAGTCTCCATCCTCCGTACCCCTCTTCCTCACCTCTGCCATAGCTTTTGCTGACTTTTACTTGAGGCAAATGTTGCATCCTCTTAATTGAGTCATCTAATTAATTTCTCAGCCTCCTTGCTGGCACGTTTTATAGTTTACATCTTTAATTAAGCCCATGATCCAAACAAAGAGCAGAGAATGTCAAGCACCTCTCTGAACCGTCTTGATTCAAATCATTAGCAACATGGCTGTGTTGTCTACACTCTGTTAAAAATGCCAAATGCCAGCAATCACATCTGCCTGCCTTCAAGTATTACTCCAGTATCACAAACTTTAACATCATGACAAACGTCCTCTGTGTCTTCTCCAGCTTCATCTACTCGGTACTGATTGTAGTCACAACTGCTCTCTACCTGTCTGGCATTAAGGCCTATGTGTCTGTGATGGTGTTTGCACTCGTCCTGGGCTGGATGAACACTCTGTACTTCACCAGAGGCCTGAAGCTCACTGGCACCTACAGCATCATGATACAGAAGGTTAGATAATGGAGACAATAAACCAATGCATATTAATTAACCTTAAAAATCATTATCCATGTGTCTTACCACTCCTCTTACTTTTGGTTCACAGATTCTTTTCAAAGACCTTTTTAGATTTCTGCTTGTGTACGTGCTCTTCATGATTGGATATGCATCAGGTACTGTAGGCTCATGGTCACCTCACTTTACAGGTGTAATGCTGTGTCTGCATTAATTAAAGTGATAGTTTGCCATTTTAGGAAATAGTTAATGTCACTAACACTCTTATATTTTGTCCATTAATTTAAATATGAAGTTACGACCAGGATGCTTCCAGTTTTAATGCAAAAACCTAAATATCTAACCATTAACTTGACGCTATTAACTTTCAGTCTTAATGTCAGGTTAATTTAAGCTAACTGTGACCCTAAAGCTAACAGGGTGTTTCCCCCTGCTTCTAGTTTTTTTGCTAAGCTAAGTGTCTCCTGGCTGCCTCATATTTAACAGACAGACATGAGAGTGGTATCAATCTCCTCATCTAACTTTTGGTAAAAAAAGCAATAGTACTAATGTACTAATCCTTTAAGCGCTCATAGACACATAACCAGACTTCCTCTGTTCCCACCGCACAGCCCTGGTGTCCCTGCTGACAGCGTGTCCTCCACCGGGCACAGAGTGCGACGGAGGCTGCCCCACCTACCCCGACTGCAGGGACACAGACACCTTCAGTGCTTTCCTACTTGACCTCTTTAAGCTGACCATTGGGATGGGAGAGCTGGACATGATCCACAGTGCACAGTATCCTGCAGTCTTCCTCATCTTGTTGGTGACCTACATCATTCTCACCTTTGTCCTGCTGCTGAACATGTTAATAGCTTTGATGGGAGAGACAGTGGGGCAGGTGTCCAAGGAGAGCAAGAAGATCTGGAAGCTTCAGGTGAGATGGAAGTAGCTGTTTGTGATGGGCGCTGTCAGTGAAATATGGTCTCATGTTCAGTTCTTCCAAATGATTAAAACGCATGTAGTGTCTTTACCTCATCTGGTATCTAGACATGCAGATAGTTTTGGTTTGGCCTTTTTTTGGCAGGTTTTGATCATTTTTCATTTGTGGTGCTTACAGGAATGAAAAATTACATTTTCTTGCAGCTGCAGCTCCCAGTATGAACACGTAAATCAGAGGGTAACAAACTCATTTTAGTTCATGGGCCGCATAAAGTTCAATTTGATCGCAGGTGGGCTGGACCAGTAAAACCATTGCATAATATTTTATAAATAACAAACACTGTACCATCCGTATATCATGCTGAATAGTAAGGTAAGGGTAAGGGCAAGGGACTCATCCTGAGGGGCACGTGAATCTATTCACCTATTTTTTTAATGGCAATCAGTTGAGTACTGGAGGAAAGGTCAGGGGATCATTGGGATTTATACTCTAGGGACCGTGGATATCTGTGCCAAATTTCATGGCAGTCCATCCAGATATTGTTGTCTTTTGTTTTTTTTCAGAGGTTTAATTGGTTTGAGCAGCACAATTTCCACTCCCTTCTACTGTATTTCTGTTGAGGCATAAATTTAAAAGATGAATCTGCATGGCTATTTACCACAACATGCAAATAAGAAAATTTGTTTTGTCATTTAAGTGGCTTAAATAGTATAATTAAACATAATGTCTTCTCACAGTGGGCAACGACCATCTTGGACATCGAGCGCTCTTTCCCAGTCTGCCTCCGCAAGTCTTTTCGAGCTGGGGAGATGGTGACTGTGGGGAAGAACTGGGACGGCACACCTGACCGACGCTGGTGCTTCAGGTATTAATGCATGACCCACAATCACAGTCACTCAGCAGTGCCAATGCCACTTCAAAGAGAACTGTCAAGCCCACTGGTGTCTTGTTATATCAGGGTGGATGAGGTGAACTGGTGCCACTGGAATCAGAATCTGGCAATAATCAATGAAGATCCAGGCAAGAATGAGACCTGCCAAGCCAACGGGTTGCAGCAGAGCGTCAGAGCTTTGCGGAGAGGTGAGATTCTCACTGTGCTCTTATGAATAAATGCATTAACAAATAAGTATATATTCATGGCGCGCACACTGACTTATTCATACAGATCAAAGAAAATCCTTCTTTTCTTATCCCCCTCTAGACCGCTGGTCCACAGTGGTCCCGCGGGTGGTGGAGTTAAGTAAGGGGCCACGGCCTCGTGATCTGGTGGTGGAGATGGAGCCGCTTACGCCAAGACACTGACGCCTGCAGAAGACTACAGCTGTCCTTCTTATAGGGGACTGCAGAGAGCCATCAGCACCAGTGAGATCACTCTGCAGGGAACGATTTGGCCAATAAATGACTAATTTGCACAGATTTCATGTGCCTTTTGTTCAAAGATAGTATAGTAAATATTACAGTAAGACAGTCAGTGTAAGAAGACAGACTGAGCACACAGAGACACTGGATGTACAACGTCTTAAAGAATCACTGATCTGAAAAAACATCAAAAAGAGTCAAAAACTTGACATAAAAAAAGTATAAAAAATAGCTATAATTTGTCTTTTACTTGCCACAGAAGAATAAAAAACTTATTATAAAAACGTACTGTACCTCTGCATTTCAGACATCAGCAGCTGATCACTCAGGGATTTAAGTGAGTCAAAATATTTCAGCATTTCCCATCTCATTATAGTGTTACAGAAAACAGAATCATGGGTTTTCTAATAGCTAGCAGAAGCATAATTACTGTATTATTGCATCAGCAGTGTAAACAAAAGCTTTGCTAGAAATGCCATCTACAGATATAATCACAATGGGAGATATTTCTTCATCACTGCAATAAATATTCATAGGCTTACAGAGTAGAAGTTGGCTTTTATTTGCTTGCTCTATATTTAAGAGGTCCCTATATGTATCATGAAGATTATATTGTATGTGCTAATTTGAATGTGTATTGTTCCAGCTATGGGGGTTCAGTATGTAGAAACTGGATCTATGTATTTTATGAAGTGTATTTTCCCTTTATTTTCTATACCATATTAATCAAATAGTTTTAAAACTATGAAAGTCTTGGGCTGGGACCGCCGGTGCCGGCAGCGTAGCTTTCATGTAACTGAAACAATGCACTATGCCAATTTGTGATGTGTGCATTATTGTATGAACACAAAGACATTGTTCGGAACAAGATGGGAATGATGAGCAGGTTATAGTTGTCAAGCAAATATGCAAATGCAAGACAATAGCCTTCCGTGTTATGGTTTGTCTTTGAATTTCCAGAGTTATTGTTCCTTTGCAGCTGGGGTATTTGCATAATCAACTCTCAGGCCTTGCCATTATGTGCCCCCACCCCCACCCCCCATTTGCTGCAGTGCTTTTATTGCAATTGGCTCCTTGCCCTATAGAGCATCTTGTTGATGCACAACTACTGTATGTATGTATACATGTATGTGAGTTATTGTACTACATGACAGGGTGTGATAAAGAGCAGATAGGCCATGCAATTCATTTTCGCTAATTGATTGCTGTCGAAGGTCACAGGTCATTGTTCACAATGTTTACATTGCTTTTATAAAGAGAAATGCCTATGCATTTTTTTACATTGTTTATTGCTGCACAGAACAATAAACACTGAATTTATTTTATGAACCACACAGTACTCTGTCTTCCTATTCCTGCATTGGACTATGAGATTCTTCTTCTGAGGATGTTTTGCAATCAGTACTTAAATGATAGATGGATTATTGTATCCCTGGGCATTTGCTATCAGCCAGAAATGATTTAATTTGATCAAAAAGAAAAAAAAGAAAGAGCCCATGGAAGCTCTTTGAACAGACGCAAATCAAATAAATAAATATAGATAAATAAATAAAGAAAGAAAGATACAAAGAAAGTAAATACTTAGATATGGAAATGTAAGCTTTTTTTTAATATATTCTGTTTCCATTTGTGGTTTAACAAGAGTGATACAGTAGAGTTTAGGGGTGTTGTGAAATACTGGTATTGATGATAACTGTGATATTTGGAAATGAAATATTGAAAACATGCTAATAACAGATATATGATAATACTGTTCAAATAATCCAGCACCTCTTAAATAATTTTCTCTTCTCTCTGTTTTCCTTTTGTCTGCCTCTCCACCTCTGTACATTTTGAATGTAATTTATTTACCAAAAAAGAGACAAATTGCACAATAAACAAAGTTAAAGATGAATTTGACTTACAGTATTTTCTTTTCAAATTTTCTACAAATATCGTTATCATGAATTCTTTTGGCCATGATGGTTATGTAGTGAAAATTATGTTGTTTTTTGTTGTTGTTTTTCTTTTATTGACATAATTTTATTTTCGACACAACTTGCAGGTATACATTAACCAATAACTGCTGTCAATGCCACAGCACATGAAGATATCAGGACAATGACAGACAGTTAAATAAACAAAACAGGGCATGACAACAATTAATTATTTGACCTTCTCTTAAAAACATCATACCTCATATAACACAGCTCCACTGTTATGACAAAGACAGTAGCAGACACAAAGAAGTATCACAACATATACACCTGCACCCCTCAACCCTGACCTTTCCTGTCCCCAGAGACCTTTCTCTAAATTCTACTATACATGTGTAAAGTTTCTCAAACGAGCACTATAGAGTAAAAACAAAGACAAAATACAAATAAATTCATACCATTTCCTTGCAAGGTATCTAAGTGTCTACATTTCTCATCATAACATTGTTCTACTATTTGTTGCATGTAAAATATACATGTTATATCACCACATGAAAGTTAAGAATTACATTTTAGCTAAGCATCTATATAATCTTTCACAGAGCGTTTTGATGACAAAAAACAATATTCTTGATTTTCTGTGTATTTTTTAATAAGTGCACCTTCATTCCACATTAAACCAAATTCTCCAAAACTCAAGGATTTTGAGTTCTGTCCTGTTAATTCAAACTGCCGACTGTGGCTGGACAGACCCCAGAGGTGTGGCCTACTTTTTGTCGTATGTCACAGGTGCTTTATTCTATCATCACAATTTTTCCATTCCTTTTGTCAATCAACTTGTTCCCAATTACTTCATTCAGTTCTGTTTCTGTTTTAATTGGTGCATTTTAAAAATACCAGTGCATTAGTGCCACTCAAAGGCACCTAATTCAGCCTATGCAGTTTTAATAGACGGAACTATTTATTGAGTTCATGTTTGCCATGGGTCCTGATTTAAAGTATCACACAGCAGTAAGTGTAGGGACACTCTGTCAGTCATTATGAAGGAGACAGACACAGATTTCATGTGCTCTGTCGATGACCCTGAATACCTCCTAATGTAGGATGATGTTTAAAGCCAATTAACTGTTACATAACTATCCTAAAAATAATAATAATCTGTTTTTTTCCTCCAGATTACATTAATTATTTAGCTAATAATATTTTGAGAGGATATAAGTTAACATTTTAAGATGATGGTTGTTTCCTACAGTAGTCCTTGTATGATAAATATGTTGGGAAGATGAGTGTTAATTATCACTTGCAGTTCCTTCTCTGGCCTGCTGATGGCTGCAGAGGTCTAAATTCCTGTGCTGTGCTGCATGTAGAGAAGAGATCCCACTTGAGGCACACAAGCATTAGCTGTGTCTACTCCTGTAGAAACTGTAGGGCAAATATATATATATATATATATGTATTTTAATTATAGCTGTAAATATTGAATTGTCAGTGCTAACTGTTACCAACACTCTAACCTTTAATAGGTTATACTTTGTAGGATGCAGTCCACTTATGAAACATTTTTTTTTTCCTCTGGATCTCAGGTCTCGTTGACCTCGCTGTAACACCCGGCCAGTAATTATGGGCTTTTGCCTTTCTAATGAAACCACAAGCTGGCAACAATTTATGAACTGCTTCACTGCTTTTCACCTTTCATCATTACACCTCACCTTTCCTTCTCCTCTTTAAAATGCTACAGTGGTGATTCTCACTCACGATAACTAGGGCCTCACCCCTCACCTCCCATCCTCCTCCTCCTCCTCATCCTCCTCCTCTTCTCTCCCCTCTCTGAGGCCGGCAGCGCTGAAGGACACAGGGAATCTCTCACCACCTCAGAGAAGAGGCTAATCCTCTTTGCCCCAACTTTAACTGGGCCACTAATCCTCCAGGTTTATCTAAGCAGTGAGCACCTAGCGCTGCTGACAACTTGGCCTGCCCTCCTCCCCGCAGCCTGTTAAGTAGGGCAGGGCTCGGTCCTGCAAGTGTCACTGTCAGCAACTCTGGAACCGCACACTTGCACAGGAAGTGTGAGCTGTTAACAAAATGGCTCACTTGCTTGCAGCATGTGTGTGCTCGCTGCCACAAATGTGTCTCAACAAACCAAAGTGACAGCCAAGCAGGATCATGTTGTAACGGCCCTCATTTAGCAACCACACATAAGGGAAAGTTGACAGTTTCAGCCAAAGGTCTTAAGTAAACTAACTAGCTTAGATATTGGCAGTACAAATTGTTCAGCTATTGTCCAGCCAGTTAAGCTTTAAGGTGTTTAGGCTGATGAGTCTCAAGCGGATACTGGGCTGGACTTGGGCCAACTCATTCTTTATTCACTAAACAACACTCCAGACTGTCTGATGGCTTCAAGTACAACATTCATTGCCTGTCTGAGGTCCAGCCGCCTGACACACAGAGCCAGGGCTCCTTCCGTACTGGTCACACTCTCACTAATCATTTCACTGACTGATACTGCAAAAGAGGTGGATGGATCATCACTGAATAATTCTCTCGGCTAACAGATAAAGTCAGGTTAAGACCTAAAAGCAGGTTTCTCACAGCTTTAAGTCAGTGCTAATTTACTTCCTTGAAATAATTCCATGAAATTCCTTCCATAATCCCCAGTGAAATATTTCACCAAGGTGTGGTATTTCTAAATGGAATGAGCAATCACTGGAAGCGTTGGGAGATGAGGAGCCAGAGATATATTGGTTAGGTGGCATGTGAGATGACCTTTCAGTTCATCTAAGATGAAACGAGGCTGCTGAACCCAAAATGATTCAGAGTGTCTAAACTGACAGGCGAGGGCATGGCCGCGGCAGAGCGTCAGCCTGCTGCCCGGCCTCTATAGGCATCTCTCATGATTTATTGTGAAATTGCCAGGGACTCAATGTGGCGTGCAGGTGAATGAGTTTTGCTAATAAGAGAAGCATTTCTGCTCCACAGAGCTCTTTTTCTGTCTGAGCGAGCGTGTATGAAATCAGTGTGCAGTCTCCCAGTACCACACGCTCTGGTGGAGGCGGCTGGCTCATCAGTCTACGGCTTATCTGATGTTTTAGGTGGGTGGAGAGGTTGGGAGTGAGGAGAGAAAGCAGGAAAAAAGCGTCAATATTGAGTTCTTGAAGGTACCTGTGTTGTTAAACATTTAGATTGCGTGTATGATGTGCTCCTTATCTTCAGGAAATGGACTTCCTAGCAAGGCCACTGGTCAAATCCTACTAAGACACACACTTTCTTAACATATATGCAAGATATTTTTGATAGCTTGACATTAGAATATACATATTAATTATGACATTAACATATAATGCCAAACTAAAGCATTCATTGCATTTGTCATTGTGGTGGGTTTATGGAGAAGGCGTAGTGAGCAAAGAGGTGTGAGCTGCAGTAAAAGACAAAGATTAGTTGCTGCTCTTTGATTTGTCAAAAAATACATTCAGAAAGATAGTTATGTGAGTCAGCTAATACTCCCTTATTGTATGACTTGTATGTCCAGGCTTTAGAGGAGGACACCTTGTCTTGGCCACTTTGGGAAATTGCATGTAAAGAGACTTAGCTTGCCTTTGCCTCTGCTTAAGAGCAGTGTCTCCAAATCCTCATTCACGAAAACTGTCAATCATTCCCACAGTATAAGAGGTTACTGTCCCCTTTTATCCTGTTGGTTGTTTTCCAATGATAGCACAAATGTTCTGTCATGGACTTTGAGGCAAGGCTGGAGCCAAACATTGTAAGCACTGGGGGCTAAGCCCAAACCTAGGGGAGCCCAGGGGCATGCTCCCCTCTGGCAATTTATTCCCTATTTAAGGCAGCTATATGCACAATTTTCAAGCCATTTGAAATTCAAGAATGCCTTAAAATCATCCTGTAGAACCAACATTTTATTTAGTATCCAATTGTTCTCCAACTGTCTTGATCATTGTGAAACAACATCACAAAAAATGTTGCGGATCACAAATTGTCTGAAATTACTATTTTTAAGTTACATAAAGTAGGTAGGAATTTTGCATAAGCAACATTAGTAATCTTGAAATGTATTTTTGTCATATGATGCTGGAGTAGAGTTCACAGAATTAATTCAACATTCTGAACTCAGTCTGAGGCCAACAGAAGAACATATACTCCCTTATATTAACTAGTCAGCTATCTGCAGCTAACATTAGATAGCCAGCAATTTATGGTGTGTTACACTTGCACTGGGAAGTTGGAATTTCCATATCCCCAGTCAGGAATTTTGAAGGAATGCCCCCTGAAGTTGAATTTCCGACTTTGGAAGTCAGAGGAACCTTACCAACCCTGACCTCAAAATCTAGTGTGGCTGCTCCATGCATCAGTGGTGTTGAGAGGTGTAATACTGTAACATACTGTTTATTAGCACTTCACAGTCCAGTCCAACTTCTATCTGTTGACATGCTGCTATGGGTGTATGGTATTTGTATGTCCAAAATACAGCGTAATGCGACCTTATCAACTGGTGTTACTGGCAATGGCTAGCCTGGCTAGAACTGGTATTGCTGTTTTAATTATCATGTTTTACTGGAACGTGATTAACTTGACTATGATGTCATTCCCAGCTCTGACCTTTGACTTCTGAGATGATTAGAACGCAGCACTGTATTAGTCTATACCTCACCAATTCACTCCTACGAGCCTAAGTGGTAGCTAGTAGCCTGGCACCTGTGGTTCCAATGTACAGGGGGTCGTCCACTAATCGGGAGATCGGAGGTTGGTTCCTCCAGTCCGCATGCTGAAGTGACCTTGGGCAGGATACTGAAAACCAAATTGCTCCTGTTGGCTTTTCCATCAGTGTATGAGTGCGTGTGGCACCATGTATGGTAGCCTCGGCCACTAGTGTGTGAATGGGTGACTGTGACATGAGCACTTTGAGTGGTCGAAAGACAAGAAAGGCGCTTTACAAGCGTGGTACTTTTACCATTTGTTGGTGGCTGAGGTTGATTCCTGATGAAAAACTACCTCACTTCTTTAGTCCACAGGCCACTTAGCTAGCTAGCAAGCTTGCTCACTGAGGTGACATAGCTAAAGGTAAAATGACACACATGAGATGTGTGTGGCAATGTTAGGTTTAACCTATTGATGACAACATTTCCCTAACAGAATTTTTGCTCCATGGATTTGCTGGTCCAATCAAACAGCACGAAGGAAAATGACATAAGGTAATGTTATTTTAAAAACCTAAAAGCTCCGCCCCTGCTTTGAAGCCTTATGCCACAATATACTGCTGCAAAGGTGAAAAAGGTCAAGTGAACAACAGGATTGCGGAGGCTAGCATATGGTGGTGATGTGCAAAGTGAGTCCTAAGACTAATATGCTTACCTTCATTACAGTAAGGTCTCACCCAGAGTCTTAAATATTGTTTAAGAAGATGTTTACAGCAAGGGAGAGAGAGGAAAAAAGACCACAGAGGAGTATAGCAACAAGACAGGCATAGAAGTCATCTGCTTTATTTACTTATGTCAAACAATAATACATAAGAGAGGAGAGGTCAAATGAAAACCAACCATCTACATTAAAATAAAGAAATTTCAGTCCTGAGATTGACAAAAAGCAGGGAACAGACAAAATATCTACTGTGGTCGTTGGGATGGAGGGGGGACAGTGGCAGTTTCAGCAAATTGAAGATGATGGTTGTGGGGAGATTAGGGGGAGATTGCAGAACTGGAGAGGGGGTAGAAGGTAAGCAATCACTGGGATGCTTGGCTGTAGGCACATTCAAAAGTTGAAAACCCCACGACTAAAGGATTTTACAGCTTTTTTATATTCAGACTTCTTATTTCGAAATCTAAGACTCATATATTATCATTTTCAAAAGAAAAAGCAAGGTATTCTTTACATTTTTTTCATCCTGAGGAGACAAAATCATTTTTTAAACATAAATACAACACTGCAGGGAGAACAATAAGAGAGATGCTTAATAGATTTCCCATTTCCATATATATTATTTTCTCAAGGTTGCGGCACCCTCAGACTTTGGCAGCGTTGGTGCATTTGAGATCATTCGGGAAAAAAACAGCCCTGTTTGTCCACAGGAACATTCTGAGAGCCACACAAACAGTAAAAAGGAAAGAGGAAGAAAAAAAAAGCAAAATCCCCAGACTTTTATGTTTAGATTGGATACAGCAATATACCCACCACATAAACTAGATGAATATTTGGAGGCCATAAGCTTTTTCAGCTGAACATACATAGTTGTGACGCTGAAGAAATAAAAAGCTGTAAGCTCCTGGAATTACGACCTGCTGCATTGCCTCTTAGAAAAGGGCTGTGCCTTTGGAAAAAAAAGATCCTGATTTATTTTGGGATCTGTGCTGATTTTTACCTTGTGTTGTATTAATAAACGCTGAAAACAACATTTAAATTACATGGTGCTCACATCGGACCCATCCAGTTCTATTCAGTAGCACGATAGCGATGGCAATGTGCTTAAGTAGCAAAACACAAGAAATCGTTTAATGATATTGTGCAGATATAAGGCTGGTGGGTTAACTATACAAGCCTCCTCAGAACCATCTGTATTATTGATTAAAGTATTTTCTTGCTAGGTAGGAGCCAAATGGAGAGCACTGGCCTCATGACTTTATCTTCTGCAGACGTTAAGAAGGGATGCTGGGAAGGACTCAGAGATGAGAGCCCCAGGGACCCAAGGGCAGCCAGGGGACATGACTGAGGTTGACCAGAGCAGCGTGGAGGGGACGTCACCCCCCTTACCCACCCCCCTCAGTCATCTGTAGGTTAGGGAAGCAGCGCCAAGACTCTACAGAGCGAGCAGCTGCCTTTATTTTCTCTATCTCTCCCCACCCTCCCATCCCCTCTGTTTTGAGAGTGAAAGAGCTGACCCTGCTTTGAACGAGCCCGTCCGCTCTGCTTCCTTCTCAGCAGTATTTAAGGTGCATAATATGCGACTAGACCTTTGCACTGGGTAAAGGTCTTCATGGACTTATTGGGATTTACTAAGGGATTTTTACAACGAGCATAAGTCAATTCCCCTCCACTTTGCCCTCAGGCCATCCTCGTGAGCATCTCATTGCCCTTGAAAACGTGTTAACAGTCGATAGTGTGAAGCCACAGAGATAAGTTATGGATCTAAGTGTCCATGTTCAGATGGGGTTTGATTGGTGTAATTTATCATTTCCTGGGCCACAGAACTTAAAATATTTTCCCAAGCATTGAGAACTTAATTGGAAATGAAGATTTCACTTACTAGAATTTAGTAAATTGAGGCACAATAAGTCTTTCAGTGAGGAATGTGATTTCCTCAGAGCTTGAATCTGAATATGAGGCCGCAGAGCCAAAGAGGGGAGGCTGAAACCAGCACCAGGAACATGGCAATTATCCTGATTACTGATGCTTCGAGGCTCCTCTGACCCCAAAATCCCTCCCTGTATCTCTCTCCCTGTTTCTTTCTTTTGCTGAGATCTGTCACATTGCACAGGGCCCCTCAGCCAGGCAGGGAGCAACCATGTATAATCCAACAGAAAACAAATCCCCTCGATCAAACACAGCCCAGCTTTTTAAAGCAGGCCTCTGAGCCCAGGCGCCATGGTGCGGTGCTGAGGCCCTCTGAGACGCTGTGGAGGCTGTGATTTAACAACACCCCTCCCCTCCCCTTTAAAACCCCGCTGTCCTCCCCTTCAACGCCAGCCAGCCAGTCCTAACCTTCAGTTTGTTTAAGCACTGCTGAACCCTGTTGGCCCCGGACAGGGGGAGGGTGGGTTTAGATAATGACATGCCATATGCCACTCTGCCTCTGCAGCTGAGTGAGCCGTGCATGGATCAGCTCAGGCACAAATCTATTTGAAATTTAATTCTATTATCCTAATATGGGCTAAGCGTCCATTGTCCAAATCGGGAATTGTGGAATGGACCAGAGTTGCAGGGCTAAGATGCATCCCATCAATAGGAGCTCATTAATGTGTGCAAAGAACCAGACAGTTTGGAGCCTGTACAGTAGAAAATGTAGCCACAAAGGAAAGATGGTAAAAGTATCTGAATACCACCTCATATTAAACACAACATGGGACCTGACTTAAACATTCCTGTTAAAAAAACAAAAGAAAAATGCTGTATTTTGTGTCATCTTTTGTGTTTCATTCATCTAAACTTGGCTCACAATGGCCAGATTCCTCGCAGTATCTAATAGGAAATCCCTTGCTATTTGAAAAGGGTTTGATTTCAACCCTTTGAGTGAATGAATACTCTCCACTGGCAGTGTCCAGCAGCCAGGCGTCACCCAATATTCCCATTAGCAGAAAGGCCTGGTGCCTCAGACCTCCACTGGTGGGAAAGGCCAGACACCAGAAACTCCACTGCCTCAAGTGTCTCCTCTTCACTTCAACATCATGTGACAGGGTTTAATGCTTGGATGCAGAAGCCAAACGGAGGGGATTTAGGGACGGGATGTATCTGTAAATCTGTCAAAATATTTCTACAAGACAGAAAATATGCTGGAATCACACAGTGTGGCTGGGGTATTAAGCTGTTGAAACAACATGAACAATTTTCACTGGAATGTTAAGGAGGCTTACTGTGCAAATTTAAGCCAAGAGGGCTTGGTATTCTTTCCACTGAAATCTTTGTCAGCCTTCAAAGACAGTAGTGTGTGTCTACAAACACCATTAGCTTGAAATTTAAGGCTCGTAGTTTAGATTAAGCAAGGGTTATCTTAAGGGAGAAACAGGTCTATTTATGGAGTGCAAGTGATCAAAGAAAATTTATTTTCTGCTCCGTCTTCAATATTAATGTGTAAATCCTTTCTTTTTTTTTCCAACATTGCTATCCTTTATCTTTGGATGGCCAAAGTGTAAACATTTGAAAGATAATCATTTAAATATGGTAGGTTATCTCAGTGGCAGAGGTTTGATCGCTACAGTACAGTGAAGGATCTATATCACACATGACGCTGCTGCTGAAACAAGGGCTTAATTTTCCGCTGACGTCTAGAGGACATACATTAAAAAAATAATGACAGACTTCAAAGCCGAGATGTGGCTTCTTAATATATTCTTAAAGAAATTTATTTTACACCTCAAAACAAAAAAAAGGATAGGGATTAGGGATGTGGTACATTGGGAATGTATTGACAACTGTAGTTTACATTTTTTGGTGTAAGCTCAGAGAAAAAATGTTAATACAGTCATAATAATTGCACTTCATAAATCTAGACTGATGCCAGTATTTTCCCACAACAAAGCTCCTGCTTCCTCTCTCCAGTTACTAAATTCAATTTACCATTGAAATTTGACGGACAAAAGAAATGCTAATTTAAGACCAGAGGACTGCTGCACTGATCCAATTTTTCTCTTTCACTCGAGTCCCACAAGGCAATAAAACATTGCAGTAATTTAAGTGCAGTACATTCAAGGGAATCTCACAGTCATAATAAATATTTCACTGCTCTGAATCATCAAGTTAAGACTGGCCCGGGCTAAATGTATCCCAACCAGGGGCTGAAACGGACAAGGGGAAGCAGTGAGCCTCTTCTCATTTCATCTGATGCCAGAGGACAGGGCATGATTGTTTTCATTTTGTATTCGTTAGCAGGATCAGGGGTGAGTAGTACCCCCGAAATAGGACCTCCATTTGTTCCCACCTCTTTCTGTCATCATGATAGCAGTTGACAGAAGTATGAGATGTAGCACTGTAACTAAAGGAGTCATGTGAGAACTTGATTTCTACTCTAGCTCCATCTAAAGCCTCCGATAAAAAAGGGAACAAGATTTGCAAAGTATCTCCTGTACATTACTCAGATATGATGTTTATGGGACTGGTGAATCAGTTTTTCAGTCTCGGTGGTAGAAATCTTATAATGACACAATTGAAAAAAGAAAAAAAAAGTCTGAGGATTTTGAAGAACACAAACTAAAATGCACACACGCGCATGCACTCAGCCACATACACGCATAAACATACACGTAAGGTTATGTAGATAACCTCCCAATCACATTCTTCATTGTAACATTTCTTTTTCATATTTTTTTGTGACATTTTCTTTTTTAAATAAGTATTTCAAGATTTATTGTAGATTCCAGTGTTGGTTAAGAAAAAGAGCTCTCCGACCAGGTTCTTACAGAACCAAAGCAGCGACTATGCCTCACACCAGGACATAAGAAACTGCACATCAGCTTGAGGAGGAATTATTAAATCATAAAAACAAAAGTGGGAAAAAAAACAAGATAAGAAAAAAAAAGCATTTGAGACACTTTTCCCCATAGCAGCCAATGCATATAATATACCTACAAATATATAAAACAACAAAAAATAGGTTCAAGTTTTCAAGTTTCTTAAATATATCATATCCAAACTACCCAATTCCAAACTTCAAAGTTAACAAGATTCAAGCAGTGCAATTTATGTATCAATTATAACAGCAATAATAACTAATATTGTACTATCCTTTTAATTCAACCTTATGATCCTTGTACATACACACCCGAGTATAATTTTAGTCTCCTCACGTATCAGTACATTTGTGTATCTGTATGTGTTTGTCTATGTGTGTGTTCATGTGTTACAGAGTTTTGGATTTTGAAAGCAGCCCTAAACTTCGGCCCATTTAAGACCATTTCAGTGACAACCTACACAGTAGCTTCATCCTTAGTATTTGGAAGGGGGATACAAGTGGCATATGCACTTCATGTCAAGCTATGATTCTCATCAAAAAAGTTCAGGCAAGTAAAACAACAACAAAAAACAGAAGAAAAAATAAATCAATCCAAAATTCCTATTGGCAAACCACACAATGGAACATCTGGAGAATCTTGAAATCCCTTTTTCTCTCCCACTGGCAATCACTACCACCTTTCATATTTGGGATTCCCACAGCCTGCCTTGAAACCACCAAATCTACGGTCACACAGCACAACAACTGCTCTTCTCTAAGCTCCCACACTAGTTAAAGCAGTGCCAATCTCAACAATCTGTACCCAGAAAAAAGAAACATCTCTGTTCTTTAACTTTGATTTTCTTCACAAATTCACAACTCTTGATTCTCTTCCTCCTCTTCTTCCCCCTCTATCTGTAAACAGGGAGGCGGATGTGTGCATGCTGGTGGTCTAACAGACGTGGCACAGACACAGTCTCGTAGCCTTTGCCAAGCATCTGCTCCTTGATGCAGGGTGGGTGGATGTCGTTGATCAGGTACTCCAGAGACTGCAAGCTGCTGCTCAGCACCGATGTGTTGCACAAGCTCTTGCTGGGCAGGCTGCAGCACAAACCTCCCCCGCTGTCTATAGCAGGGTGATGATGATGGTGGTAGTGGTGATGATGGTGGGGGTAGCCCATCTCTCTGTGCCCCGTGGCCGGCCCTCCTGTGGAGGTGCCCAAAAGCTCCTGGGGGTTGTAGCAGTCACTGTCAGGTGTCACCAACACACTGTTCCATGGTGGGGCAAAGTACTGACCCACTGAGAAATTTCCATGCATACCCACACAGTTCAAAGGGGAAGAGCTGATTTTGTCCATCCCGCCTCCTCCACTAGCACTCGCTGTCAGGTGGTAAGGTCTGGAGGAAGAAGAGGACACTTGTGCTGCCATAATCCCTCCCCCTGGAACACAAGTTTCCGGGGACTTGCTGATGGCGCCCCCTCCACCGCTACCTCCGCTGTACATGCGGAGCACAGCCTGTTGATGCTGCTGCTGTTGTTGTTGTTGTTGCTGCTGCTGCTTCTGCCAAAGGATGTAGTCCATACCATCTGCGTACACACCAGTCTTCATCGCCTCTGCATTTTGAGCTGGCAGCCCGGGCCCTGTGTACACCATATTGGCCTGGGGAGCCATTCCTACCACATAGCCTCCACCTGAGGAGCTAGAGGAGACCCCCATGACGGTTGTGCCCTGCTTGGAAGGGCTTGAATTTGATGGTGCAGTGGCAGCCCCTTGGCACACCTGCTGCAGAGCCTGGGCCTGGCAATGCTGGTTGATCTGGTAAATGATGCTCTGGATGGAGGGGAGGTTGGACTGTGCGGGCAGGGCCAGGCCTCGGCCCCCTGTTACAGGAATCACTGAGCCAGCTACAGTGACATTTGGGGGAACCGACAGTACGGGGCCTTCTGGAGGCTTTGAGGGCCCAGTGTGGTATACCATTTGGCCGTGGCCACTGGCTAAAGTGCTACTACTAGGAGGTGGGTATGGGGCAACAGCTATGTGGGCAGGAGAGAGCTTAGTCCGTCTGCCTTCGGAGTTCTTGAGAACACCTTTTGAAGGGACAAAGGTGGCTGTTGATGATGATGACGATGAGGAGGCCTTGACGATGGCGAGCAGGCCCTGGTAGCCCCCTGTGTGAAGATGTGGGTAGGGGCTGTAGCGTTGCCCTGTGGTGTCATATCCATTCACAGTCCGATTAAGGTGCTTGTGCTGGGGAACCCTGATGTTGGTGGGGAAGATCTTGATGGACAGAGGGCTGTTGGCCGTCTTCTGAGCGTAGGCATCAAGTTCTGCCGCAGTGGGGTAGCGTGGGGAATGTGTGGGCACCACCAGCTCACCTGTAAGACAAACAGAGAAAAAAGTATGAGTAAAATGAACGATTGAGATTTTAAAAAAAACTGGCTGCATGTATTGCAAAACAGAGCAGCAGAACAGGAGTTTAATTACCAGGAATATTGAAGGAGCCGACAGCAATGGCAGCCACAAAGTCAGATCAATCAATCAATTGCAATAACCACTACCCTGCTGCAACAGAAAAACCTGGCAGCATTACAGTGTCTACTTCTAAAGCAGCCTGAAAAATATCAGTGTTCAACAAGAGCAGGTGAATAAAACCAGATGCAAGCAGTGGACAAACTGCAGAACATCGCAAACAGAGTTGGAAACAGTAAATCAGGACTGACATTCATTTGTGTTCCATCACTCCCCTCCTCCATTTGAGCTTTCTCTCCATCTCATTTTCACACCCTCCTGTGGAAGTTCATCCCTAGGCAAATGGATCCTTTTAAAAACTCATTCTGTCAAAGCCTGGTACCTTAGGCGCTGTTAAATCAGTGCATTGTGAAATTAATTCGGACTCTCTTTAGCATTGAATTGGGTTAGCCTTGGATACCAGGCAAGCAGGGACGAAGGGGAGGGGATAAAAGCTTGTTTAATTGCAGTGGCACATTTGAGATTTATAAGTGGTATCACTTACTGGGTCTTACCCTTGGCCACAGAATTTCCACATTTATTCAATCCAGGAGTGCGTGGAGAGGCCCTCACAAAAAACAATTAAACATCTACGGGGAATTGCTAGCCTGGTTAAGGTGAACTACATCAGACCGGAGCCAAGTCAAGAATGCTACAGCACTGCTGTTTGCAAACTTGGTCAAGGATAAAACAGAAAACTATTTCAAAGATGAGCACATGCTGAAAAGCACTTAAAAAGACTTAAAAAACCAACATAAGATATGTCAATGGTTTGCACCTGCGTGACTATGGAATATTTCAATCATGAACACAGAGAGATAGCAAATGACTGTGTTCATACAGATTGCATGTTATTAACATATTTTACATTTACAGAGTAAGTAATGACAGAACAGACAAAAGACAGGTAAAAGACATTGCTACAAATATGTAAATTCTGTGTACTGTTTGCTGTATGAAACCAATCCAAACCCAAATTCAATTCAGCAGTGAAGGGGCAAGTGAGACTAGCAATAGCCCCCGCTCAATGAGCCAAGGCTTGGCCATTGTGAATTGAGGTGGCAAACAGGAAAATGGCAATTTCTAAAAACCCCACCATGTGTCATTGTTTGGGGGCTGGGCATGGAGGTGAGAGGCCGCGGTGAGATTGGATTTAAACGACATTATTCAGGCAATTTCATGGCTACTTAGCTCAGTGTAACAAAAAGGGTGGGGGGTTGGGAAAAGAACTCAATTTACAAGCAATATATCAGCTGCCACAAATGACTTGCAACCCCTTCAAAAATGACATTTTTATGCAAAAGCTAACAAAACGCACAAAAATTAACTGCCATAACTGTGCCGTCAGCAAATGTCCTGGCGACCTAAGGAGTCTGCAGGGTGCAGGCTGTGACTAGGACTCACTCCATTTCCTCTCCGATTGCAAAATCATTTTAAAGAGACTCCACAGCCAAGTAGTCACAATTCTCATTTCTTTGCTCCCATTACAGATAGCATGGGGAGTTCATTTCAACAACCCTATGGGTCTCCAACTGTGAAAATGATTAAATCTACAAGATCCATATCATAAAAGAAATAAATTGGGAATTTAACAGCAGAGGGAAGAGACTGTGAATATCCCAAGCCAAATTAAGTGTAAGACCTATTCCACTCAGTTAGGTACATCCTGCAGACAGGATGCTTTCTAATTCAGAAACACTACACACACAAAATTAGAATTTAAATTTGTTAAAATAGCCTGGATTTAATGACTCAATTTTAATCAAAGTAAAAGAACCTGGTGCCATCCTAATGGACAAGGCTGAGTGTGCCAGTCCAGCCTATCTGAGATCTAACCAACCTTACTGAGGCAAAGCTCTGCTTCCCTGGTGACGGCAGTGCCATTTGCTTTGATGTTGTGACTCGCAGTGGAAAACTGACAGAAGACTTATTTCATTTGCTAAGAAGATAAAAACATGCTCATTTCAAAGCACGTTGCTGGTCCACATGCAAATGGAATAGCAGCATTTTTTCTGATCTTCTTTACATGAGGGCAAAAAAAACCCATCTTTGATCATCAAATGGTCTAAATGAGGAAAGATACTTGGCTTTCAGGCATATCAAGGGCCTGTGGCCTGCCACCCCTACAGGCCCCCAGCTGCAATATGCCCATCATTCCACCTAATTACTGCCACACGAGGAAAAAAACTATAAAAACAGCCAGGAAATTCATTAAAGGGTGGCTAATTCTATTCCTTCTCACTGACTGAGTTCATATTTTCCATGCCTGAGCCTGCATTTCTTCTGAGAGAGACGAGAAAGCCCTCTCGCTCCGTCTTTTCCCAGCTTGGCCCTTGTTTGTCAATAGGCAGAGCCTTTGGCACACCAACCTGGCATCAAAGGGTTTCACACTTCACAGGCCACAGGGATTAGAGGCCTTTCAGGCCTACAAAACCCATCTCAGCTCCACAAAGGCTTCCGGTTATTAGAACCCACAGGCATAAAGGAAGAAGAGGAGGAGGAGGCAAATGAGCATCTGGATGCTTCTGATTCCAGCTTCCTCAATAAAAAAGTTCCATGGTATAAATTTTATAGCAAAGTTGATTACAGTAAGTATGGCCACAAACCAGGGTGTAATTTAACTCTCATACATACACTGTGATACACTCTGTGTGTTTGATGTGTGCAGGGTCCCACATCTCTCTCCTCCAGAACAGTAAGTCTATAAGTGAGGACATGGAGGTTAAAGGAGAGAGTCTCTTTTTAGGCTGGCACTCTGTGACTTATTGGTTTAGGCTGCAGTAGATCATAGCTATGAGCAGCAGCGTACAGATGGTGCTGGCTGATAAACACCCTCTGAAGCAGCCAGCACTGCCTCCTTTGTGTGAGCCCTCACCTTCTCATAAGGTAGGGGGTTTCCTGCACCTGTGCACACTCTCCAGTGTGGTCGTGCATGCAAAGACAATGCATGAAAACAGGAAAAAAAGGCAAAAACATACACACGCACATCTGCAGTTGTGTGTCTCATTTGCCATCAGTGGAGCATGTTGTTATCCTCTGCTCAGCGCTCTCACATGAAATGTAGGGCAGGGACAACAACAGGTGCCTGTGCGGGCGACAGCCTGCAATGCCTCCTGGGCTAAATGCTTCACACTCGCTTCATTTCGACATGCGACAGCCTTGTAAGGATTAATTATTTCCCTGGGGATGGAAGAATATGGTTTTTCCCTTCCTGTGAGCAGGAGACTATGTGCACTCACAAGCACATGAAACAGCTTATAGTAAATGAACAGGGAAACCTGGGCTAGCACTGCTTTAACAATAAGCAGGAGGAAAAAAAAAGTTTCATATGAAAGGAATGTAAACAAACCAAGCATATGATTGAACTGCATTGGAGATGAGATAAAAGCTCAGGCAAACACATGCATTAGTTCTGAGAGATCACGCGCCAGGGAGCGGAGATGGCAGGGAGGCAATTAATGGGCTGACCTTCGTCCTTAATCACCCAGTGCCTGGCACACAATGCCCATGTGTCAGAGCAGCACATCTCTAAATGCCACCCCTCATTAGCACGATGCACGTAGTGAGAGAGGCTATCTGTGCAGTGTTACACTCTCCAGCGGTCAGACAGAGATAGCAAGGCTGGGATAGGATAACATGGCAGCACAGAGCCGGACTGAGCTGCAGTAGGCCATGATATGATCTAGAAATCCCATTTCACTTGGAGGATGGGTACTCTCCTTTCTCTCCATTTTGATTGGCATGAAACTCCCCAAGCACAACGTCCTTGGTGTATCCAGTGCTGTCGCTGTGATTGCATGTGTGCTTGTGTGTATGCACTCACGTGTGTGTGTGTGTGTGTGTGTGAGAGAGCGCGCGCGCGCGTGTGTGTGTGTGTTTGGTGAAAGGGGTACCCAATTCTGAACACTCAATTAACACTCCTTTAATTAGCCAGCAGTACATTTTGAATTCTGATGAACTAATTTTCTTGGTGTGAGGGTGGAGGAGGTGGTGGAGGGCTGGTAAAGATGAGGTCCACTGGGTACAAAACAGCAATAAAGAGGGAACTGGTTAGATTAGACTGTAAAAAATCCATTAAATTCTGTGCACTTCTTCCAAGTGAGAGGTCAAATTGTGTTGATCACAAGAAGCAAAGGCAGACAGAGAGAATATGAGAGCAGGGAGTTAGGTGAGGTGGAAAGAGAGGATGGGGGTGGGGGGTAGCAGGGGAGTGGAGAAAAAGGGAGAGGAGATAGGGAGTCAGAGGCTGTGCGAGAGTGCAGCACCAAATCCAGAGGACCATGAGAATGCTTTGCATTTTAATTAGAGGTTTAAATGAATAAGCAGAGGGAAAAGTCTGAGAGAACTGCCTGAAATGCCCTTGCTCCCATTTATTAGTGTTCCGAGTGTTCTAAAATTATGAGCAGGTTGGAGAAGTTTCTTCTTATTAGTGAAGAAAACGCTTCAACACATCAAAAAGCCGCTCGCCATTTCCTCACTCACTCCTGCGAGCCCATATCCCTACTTACTGCATGCTTTGATCCCCCCTGACCATGTACACTGGTGAGCAGTGGGGAAAAAGTGCTTGTTTAAATGAAGGGAGAGGACCGTTTGGTTGAACTGCAATTAAGTTTTCACAGAACGACGAGTGCATAGTACACATTAACTTTGGCCAAACAAACAGAGCCGGCTGTGATGAGGTTAGGGCAAACAACAGGAGCGGAGATGAAAGAAAACATGGGGTCAGCTTCAGTCCAACATCAACCACGTTCACTGGGAGCCATTTCCCCCCTGAGAGGGACAGTGCCTGTTAAATGTGCGTGAGCCAAGAGGGCACATTAGCTGCTGTACTGATCATGTGTACTGATCAGCCTGCATGCAGCTATGC